CAGCTACGCAACTTGTTCCTTGCAGGGTGTGTGCTCTCGGCCTGGCGCTACTCGGCATTGTTTCCTCGAAGCTGCTGGCCTGGTCAGCCCTTCGCACAGAAAAGAGCCTGGCGGGAGTGAGCGGTAGTCGAGCTATATATATATAGAGAGAGAGAGAGTGAGAGAAAGATTCAAGGATCTACATATCTATGTAACCATCGGGACACCCATCGGGCACGCCATCGGGCACATCGTCGGGACAACACCATCGGGACAACACCATCGGGACAATCATCGGGGCAACCGTCGACACAACCATCGGGGCACTCATCGGGACAACCATCGGGGCAACCACTGGGGCAACACACCCGGGACAACACCATCGGGACAACCAACCATCGGGACAACCGTCGGGACAACCATCGGGACAGCCATCGGGGCAACCATCGGGACAACCAACCATCGGAACAACCGTCGGGACAACCATCGGGACACCCATCGGGACACCCATCGGGACAACCATCGGGACAAACATCGGGGCAGCCATCGGGGCAACCATCGGGGCAACCGTTGGGACAACACCATCAGGACAACACCATCGGGACAACCATCGGGACAACCAACCATCGGGACAACCGTCGGGACAACCATCGGGACAGCCATCGGGGCAACCATCGGGACAACCATCGGGACAACCATGGGACAACCATGGGGACAACCGTTGGGCCAACCATCGGGACACCCATCGGGACAACCATCGGACACGCCATCGGGTCAACTATCGGGACAACCATCGGGACAACCATCGGGGCAACCATTGGGACACTCGTCGGGACAACGATCTGGACAACCATCGGGACAGCCATCGGGACAACCATCGGGACAACATTATCACATCCGGGGCAACACCATCGGGACCACCATGTGGGCAACCGTGGAGACAATCATCGGGGCACACCCATCGGGACACCCATCGGGGCAACCAGCGGGACCACCATCGGGACAACCATCGGGACACCCATCGGGACACCCATCGGGACAACCATCGGGACAACCATCGGGACAACCATCGGGACAACCATCGGCACAACCATCGGGACAACCATTGGGACAACCATCGGGACAACCATCGGGGCAACCATTGGGACAATCATCGGGGGTCGCCCCCAGCGGGGGGGGGGCGGGCGACCTTTTGGGTTCCATGGCCTCAACAACTGGAGGGGCTCGCGCAGCTTCGTCTCGCCCGCACGCACGACATGAACCGAAACCAAAACCGATTTCCCGGTTGGGGCCACTTCCGCTCACCCCCCCAAACTTCCGACCTGTCAATGCCCCCCATCCATGCTCATAGTTCGCAGTGGCTCTGATGCGTTGAACTTCGACCGCAGCCCTATCCGCGCGTACCAACCTTGAATTTAGGGGGGAGCGGCCGTATCCATGATTTGTTTCCCTCTACCGGAGGTCACGTCAGAGGCGGGCAGGACCAATACATGCAACGTCCTGAAATTATCATGGCGAAAGACCCAACCATATGCAGTTGTGAGTAACGCGTTGTGGTTGCCGCTTTCGGTGGAACTCCCTATGGGGCCACGAAACGCGTGAGGGACTTGCCGTAATGGGTGGGGGAGACGCATGCGGACGGTGCCACTGGGGCCTTCGGTGGGGCCCCCTTATGGGTTACGAAACGCTGTCCTGGGTGTGGCTGACACATGCTGGCAGTGCCCCTCGCTGGAGCTCCCGATGAGGCCACGAAATGTTCTACTGGTTGTGGGAAACGCATGCGGGCGCTGCCGCTGGGGTCTTTCTGTGGAGCTCCCTACAGGGCCGCGAAACGCTGCACTGGGTGGTGGCCGACGCATGCGGGCGGTGCCACTGGGACCTTCGGTGGAACTCTTTACGAGGCCACGGGAGAGGGGGACGCATGCGGACGCTGCCACTGTGGCCTTCGGTGGCCACTGGCGCTCCCTACGGGGCCACGACACGCTGTACGGGATGGGGGGGACGCATGCGGGCGGTGCCATTGGGGTTTGGTGGAGCTCCCAATCAATGGGGCCGCGAAATGCAATATTGGGTGGTGGACGACGCACGCGGGCGGTGCCAATGGGGTCTTTTTGTGGATCTCTCTATGGGGCCTCGAAGCGCTGTATTGGGTGTGGCGGGCGCATGTGGCCACCCCCACTGGGGCCGTGCGTGGAGCTCCCTATGGGGCCACGAAGCGTTGTACTGCGTGTGGCGGACGCATGTGGCCACCCCCACTGGGGCCGCACGTGGAGCTCCCTATGGGCGCTCGAAGCGCTGTACTGCGTGTGGCAGACGCATGTGACCACCCACCCTGGGACCTTGGGTGGAGTTCCCAATGGGGCCACGACACGCTGCACTGCGTGTGGCGGACGCATGTGGCCACCCCCACTGGGGCCGCACGTGGAGCTCCCTATGGGGCCACGAAGCGCTGTACTGGGTGTGGCGGACGCATGTGGCCACCCCCACTGGGGCAGCAGGTGGAGTTCCTTATGGGGCCACAAAACGCTGTACTGCGTGTGGCGGACGCATGTGACCACCCCCACTGGGGCCTTGGGTGGAGCTCCCTATGGGGCCACGAAACGGTGTACTGCGTGTGGCGGACGCATGTGGCCAGCTCCCCCACTGGGGCCTTGCGTGGAGCTCCCTATGGGCCCACGAGGCGCTGTACTGGGCGTGGCGGACGCATGTGGCCTCCCCCACTGGGGCCTTGCGTGGAGCTCCCTATGGGGCCACGAAGCGCTGTACTGCGCGTGGCGGACGCATGTGGCCACCCCCACTGGGTCCTTGGGTGGAGCTCCCTATGGGGCCACGAAACGCGGTACTGGGTGCGGCGGACGCATGTGGCCACCCCCGTTGGGGCCTTGGGTGGAGCTCCCTATGGAGCCACGAGACGCTGTACTGGGCGTGGCGGACGCATGTGGCCACCCCCACTGGGGCCGCAGGTGGAGCTCCCTATGGGGCCACGAAGCGCTGTACTGGGCGTGGCGGACGCATGTGGCCACCCCCATTGGGGCCTTGCGTGGAGCTCCCTATGGGGCCACGACACGCTGCACTGCGTGTGGCGGGCGCATGTGGCCACCCCCACTGGGGCCGCACGTGGAGCTCCCTATGGGGGTACGAAGCGCTGTACTGCGTGTGGCGGACGCATGTGGCCACCCCCACTGGGGCCTTGCGTGGAGTTCCCTACGGGCGCACGAAACGCTGTATTGCGTGTGGCAGACGCATGTGACCACCCCCACTGGGGCCTTGCGTGGAGCTCATTATGGGGCCACGAAGCGCTGTACTGCGTGTGGCTGACGCATGCAGCCACCCCCACAGGGGCCTTATGTGGAGCTCCCTGTGGGGCCACGAGACGCGGTACTGCGTGAGGCGGACGCATGTGGCCATCCCCAATGGGGGCTTTGGGTTGAGCTCCCTATGGGGCCACGAGACGCTGTACTGGGTGTGGCGGACGCATGTGGCCAGCTCCCCCATTGGGGCCGCAGGTGGAGCTCCCTATGGGCCCACGAGGCGCTGTACTGGGCGTGGCGGACGCATGTGGCGTCCCCCACTGGGGCCTTGCGTGGAGCTCCCTATGGGGCCACGAAGCCCTGTACTGCGCGTGGCGGACGCATGTGGCCACCCCCACTGGGTCCTGGGGTGGAGCTCCCTATGGGGCCACGAAGCGGTGTACTGCGTGCGGCTGACGCACGTGGCCACCCCCATTGGGGCCTTGGGTGGAGCTCCCTATGGAGCCACGAGACGCTGTACTGGGTATGGCGGACGCATGTGGCCACCCCCACTGGGGCCGCAGGTGGAGCTCCCTTTGGGGCCACGAAGCGCTGTACTGGGCGTGGCGGACGCATGTGGCCACCCCCATTGGGGCTTTGCGTGGAGCTCCTTATGGGGCCACAAAACGCTGTACTGCGTGTGGCGGACGCATGTGGCCACCCCCACTGGGTCCTTGGGTGGAGCTCCCTATGGGGCCACGAAGCGTTGCACTGGGCGTGGCGGACGCATGTGGCCACCCCCACTGGGGCCGCAGGTGGAGCTCCCTATGGGGCCACGAAGCGCTGTACTGCGTGTGGCGGACGCATGTGGCCACTCCCACTGGGGCCTTGGGTGGAGCTCCCTATGGGGCCACGAAGCGCTGTACTGCGTGTGGTGGACGCACGTGGCCACCCCCACTGGGGCCTTGGGTGGAGCTCCCTATGGGGCCACGAAGCGTTGTAGTGGGTGGGTGGAGCGCATGGAGGAGGGAGGAGGGGGGAGGGGGAGGAGGGAGGAGGAGAGGAGAGGAGAGGAGAGGAGGGACGAGGGCACCGTCTCATAAAAAAGGACCCAACACCACAGGATTGTTGGGCAAAATCCGGACGGAGCATTGTTTTGGGATGTTCGGCATCCAGGGGCCCTGACTGGGCTCCAGGACCGTCAAACAACCACTCAAGACGAAACTTTGGCCTTGTGGAGAGAAAGGTCGGGACTGGTAAGGACCGCGTTTTGAAAAACAGGACGCTTGAGGAGGTCAAGTCAGAGGAGGGCACGTCGAGACAACGGCGGCCCTCCATGGAGTTATTCCTCTTTTTGGGGGACGAATCCCTGGAGGGTCCTGGGACCAAGGTTGGTCGTAGTTGGGCCAGGCGGAAGGGCTGCCGCTGTCCCAATCGGCCTTCCTCCAGTCATGATCATGAGTGAACGATGCGTTCCAAGAGTTCCCAGAGTGGCCCAGTGTGCCACACGGGCTGCAGCAGCGAGGGCCGCCAGAGGGTCCCAGAAACGTACTCCGAACTTCTTCTCAATCAACCGGGGGGGGGGGGGACGAACGTGAAAACGCGGCGCGGCCCCCCCCCCCCCACCACCGTCGCGCCCCAGCGGGCAAGGGATCGAACCCCAGACCCCCCCTGGCACCCCCGCGGACGCGCCGCGGCCAACCCCCCGGGCACTCCAAAGGGGGGGGGGCGATTATTTTGCGATCCAGAGTATCCAGAGCCCACTGCGTCACGACGTCGTTCTCGTCACAGGTGAGGCGGCTGGTGGAGTCGCTGGTCCAGCCCGGCGTCCCGCGCACAGGGGAGGCTGTGGGGCGAGGGGGGGAGGCCCTCCGAGAGTCGACGAGTATAACGACGTGAACACTGATTTTCGGAGTTCCGCGCGGAGTTCTCTGGTCGACTCAATTCAGGCGATCGCAAACATGAATAAAGGGGGCGTGGATTAGCAACGGGTCCCGTTTCCATGGGAAATCACAGATGTCCGCCGCCGAACGAGGCGGCACCGGCCGCGTTTTGAGAAGGGCACCTTCCCCGATCCATGGATTTGGCGACCGCGCGCTCAATCCATGGATCGCTAATCCATGTTTGCGCGCCCCCGATCTATGCCACCCTGGCGGCGCCTCTGGGGCCCTCCCCGGCGCGCTCCGCGCGCCACGGGGACTCCAGCGCAGGTCCGAGAAATCCTTGTGGGCCTCCGAAAATTCACGTGCGTCTGTTTGCGCAGTTGGGGGCGGATGCATCGACCCACAGTCGCCCACTGATCGCCGGCACACCCCGCCCAGGAGCATTCGGTGTTGCTAACGGGGCCCGAGCGCCGATTGATCGGCGGTGCCTGGCGGAACCGCGGCCTTCCACAGAGCCATGTTCGAAAGGCGGGAGGGTTTCCCAGAAACCTCCCCTTGCCTCGAATTCTTCCTGGGGCCCAGGCGAGCGACGGAAAAAGCGGGGTCGACAGCGCGGACGTTCGCGCCTTGGGCTTCCCGCGTAAGGCCGCGAGAGGGCGCTCTCTTGTCCGCGCAGTGTGCCACGCTGGCAGCCCGCGTAAACGGTGGCGTGAGCTCTCCACGCCATCGTGCGAAAGACGTACTTTTTGGGCGTCGCTCAGGAAGCCCCCCCATTCGCTTAAGTCGGGCCTGTCCCTCTACAGGAGGAATATCCAAAAATAGTCAAACAATAATCAGGGGACGACTTTTTTGTTTCGTATTTTTGTTGACAATTTGGGGGTATTGATTGACTCTGTTGTTTCATGTTTCGCCCAAAATCCCCCTGTAGGAGGACAGGCCCGACGTACTTTTTGGGTGTCGCTCAGGAAGCCCCCCCCCCCATTCGCCCACAGCCTCCTCCTGCGCGCGCCGCCCGCCAGCAGGGGGAGGCCCAGATTCCGCAGTTCCTGCTGGACATGCGGGTCGAGCTCCAGCTGCGCGAGGCTGCGGGAGCAGAAGAGATCGATGCCGCTGCTCCCCGGACCTCTCTAGGGGTGCGCTCTTCTCGAGGGTGGACAGAACCCCCACCATGTCACGTCGATTAGTGAATTGTCCGTTTTCGGTTCTCGAGAGGGCGCCCCGGTCGTCATCTTCCAGGCTTGCGCCCGCCAGGTTTGGGCCCGAGGTCGTTTTCACTAAACCACGTGTTGCTAGAGGGGGTTCTGTCTATCCCCGATCTTCGGGGCTCGAGGGGTGGGGATCAATGCAAACAGGGATCAGCAAGAGCGCCGGTTCTTGCAAGATCATGAAGAGACAGGGTTTTATTGGCCCGTGCTTGGGCGAAGGATCCTGCAGGACCCTGACTGACCCGGATCTGAATTGGCACGGGCCAGTAGGTCCCCGAGTTCTGACCAGGATTTCGAGATGCCCGCCGTGGCGACGAGGGGCGAGCAGCGGTGCTCCAGGCCTCGCAGATGGGGCACGAGCAGATTGGTTGAAGGGTCGCACCGCATCGACGAAGCATCGGCGATGCTTCTCGATGCGGAGCCAGATGTTCCCCACGCCGATGGCGCCGATGCATCGCCGTTGCACTGGCGATGCGGCGCGATGCTCGGGCCCCATCGAGGCCTCGGACCCCGTCCAGGAGGCCTCCGGGTGTTGATGCCCGTGCCTTCCCTGAGAGGCCGCCTTCCCCGCGGACGTGCTCGCCGCCGCGGCGGGCCTCGCGCCCGCCGGCGAGGCCGAGGTCTTCGTGGCCGCCCGCAGAGTGCAGGCCCGCGGCCGGGGCCCCTGCGTGCGCCTGGAGGTGCCCGGCGTGGCCCGGGGCTCCGCCAGCCGGCCCCGGGAGCTCCGGGAGGAGCATTACGAGCGCCGGGCAGCGCCAGGGGAGGATCCCCTGAGGCTCGCGGAGGGTTGCTCCGAAGGGCTCAGGCGACCCGTCCTCCTATCTCCTTCTCCCCCCTCCTTCTCCCTCCTCCTCCCTCCTCCTCCGCCCTCCTCCTCCTCCTCCTCCTCCCTCCTCCTCCTCTCCTCCTCCTCCTCCTCCTCCTCCTCCTCCCCTCCTCCTCCTCCTCCTCCTCCTCCTCCTCCTCCTCTCCTCCTCCTCCTCCTCCCCCCTCCTCCTCCTCCTCCTCCTCCTCCTCCTCCTCCTCCTCCTCCTCCTCCTCCTCCCCCTCCTCCTCCCTCCTCCTCCATCTCCTTCTCCACCACCCCCTCCTCCACCTCACCTTCTCCTCGGGTCGCCTACGGCCCCAGGGGAAGCCATGCACAAGGGAGGATCCCTGAGACCCAGGATTCGCGACTTGTCCACACTGGGCGTCTTTGCCCAGTCTTGGGCCCCAAGGCCATCACAGATCGTCCCGGCTCGAACACTGCAGCGCCGGATCGCAGGGATACCAGTGCGAGGGTCACCACCTCGTGGACATCGAGGAGCAAGGTGGAGGGAGGATCTGGGATGGGCGAGGTTTGGGGAGCATTTATGAGTGAGCGTTGAGGGCGGTGCAGGGCGGGGCGTTTCCTCGAGGAGGTGGCGACGCCCCGGTGGGGACCCCCTCTGGCCATGCCCGGGAGCGCCTGCGCTCCCGCGCGCTGCGCGGTCGCGGCGCCAGGGTCCTGGCGGCGTCGAGGGATGCCCAGGCCTGGGCGGACGTGCTCATGGCTCGGCGGCGCGCCGCGCCGGGGGGCGGCGGCGGGGGGCGGCGGCGGGGGAAGGGAGGCGCAGCGGGAATCTGTGAGCGGCGGCGGGGCCACGGCGGTGCAGCAGTGCACCCCCCGAGCGAAGACGAGTGCATCTCAGGTTGGGCGCCTGCGCGGTTGGTCCGCGAGTCGTTGGAGTAGTGACAGCCTTGCCTCCAGTGATGTGGGAGCCGTCGAGCAGGGCAGTTGTGCCCTTGCTGCAGAAGGCCTGGAACAGCCGTCGATCACGATGGGGACCGCGGTGGGAGACCACGGTTTGGGGGGTCGAGATAGATCTAGGGAGAGCGATATAGGAGGGCTAGGGATACCTATACGAACACCCTTAGGGTGAGGAGGAGGTTGTGGGTGGGGGGAGTTCAGCTTTCGGTGGCGATTGGGGTCGGATCGACTTCGGCGGAAACAAGTTGGGCACCACGGAGCACCACCGATGGTGTCCCGATGGTGTCCCTGATAACCATCGGGAGTCATCGGGGCAACCAGCGGAACAGGTGTCATTTGTTTAGCCGCGCCCTTCTTTTTGTAGAGCGTGATACGAACGTGCAGGGCAATTTGCTTGTCCATCTATTTCTCGATCGCGGCATCCGACATGAATCGTCGGGGCAACCAGCGGAACTAGGTGGCATTTGTTTGCCCGTTTGCTTGTTTCTTCAGGACGTACTACGGACATATAGGGCAATATGTTTGCCCATCGATCTATGTATCTGGATATGAAACGAAAAGCACCTGGACAATCAACGGAATCAGGTGGCATTAATTTGTCCGCGCGTTTTTCTGCTGGAAGTTTGGAAGAATCCCTTCAAAACGCACATGGCCACTTTTTACACCGCGAAAAAAACACGTGACATACGATCGGTGTCATTCCCGATCTTTTTATCTATCGTTCAGTGTTCCACACGCTTTTGAATCCCGCGCTGTCGCTGCCTCCGTCGTCCATTCCAGGGCTCGTTGCTCAAGTCGTTTCCTCCGCCGTTTCTTCGAAGTTGGGGCAACGGGCGTCCGCGAGATAACCCGTGCGGGCTTCCACGCTGGGGCCTAGTAGGCGCTGCCCCATCGCGCCTGCGTGCCCCGCCTGCCCTCCCTGCCCCGCGTGCTACTGCACCTGAGGGGAGGGGTTCAGCCAGTCAGGGGCCCCTGGCGGGGCGGCGGCAGTGGCGGGCCGTCCTGGGTGGCTGGCACGGCCGAGGCGCAGCGCGACGCTGTCGCAGGGGTGCTGCGAGAGGCGGCTAAGGCTGCGTCGGCTGGACGGCCGCGACGTGCCTGGCGGTCCTCGCGCTGATCGTGGGCTACGACTTTGGGCGCGTGGTGACGCAGGTGCAGAGGGCCTAAAGCCGGCCCAATAGCGCTGGTCCTCAGGGCGTCGTTGTCGTGGCTGACTACTGGCAGCAATGCGGAGGTTTGTTACTCCATGGACAACCCTTGGCATGAGCGGATCCTGCTCTACCCAACAGCCAATGAGGGCGCCGAGCGCGGCGGCCGTGGGGCTTGCTGCGAGGAGCTCAGCCTGGACATGGACATGTACATCAATGAGCTGGGGAGGGGCTCGACGGGCGACAGGCCCGACGAGTGGCTCGAGGTGCCTCGGGCTCTGCGCCTGCCGGCGGGCCCCGGGTGCGCTGACCGCCTTGGCGCGTCGCCGAGGAACGGCGAGACGCCTGGCCGGTTCCGCCAGGCTTGCGCTGCGGCGCTGGCGGAGATGGAGTCGCGCGGCATGGTTCTGGACCCCTTCTCGAGGGTGACGGGCGGCCGCGGCCGCGAGAGGCGCGGGGTGGTGGACGCATGCGAGGAGGAGCCATTCGGGAGCTTCCCAGTGGGTGGTCCTCGGTCCGCTTGGCGGTGTCTCGACTTCGTTCGGCGCCGCCAGGCGCCGACAGACCGCCACCTCATGTTCAGGGCGACCGCGAGGCTTCGGCGTGAGCAGTGGTGCGCCCATGAGCACGAGCGGCCCCTGATGCACATCGGTTTGGCCGGCGCCTGCCACCAGCTCGACCTGAGCAACAGCGCGTCCGGCGACGCCATGCTCCGTTGCGCCCAGACGATCGAGAGATGCTACCCCGACAGGCGGCGCGAGACAGACTCGGCGAGTTCGGAGGACAAGATGCGCCTTGCGGAGTTCTCGGCGGTCGGCGGCTCCAGCGAGGCAGGAGACTTGCGGATGGTCGCGCCACCTCTCCTCGAAACCGAGGAGGGCCAGGTCGGCCGAGGAGGACGCCGCCCTCATGAAGAACATCAGGATGGCGCGGGAGGAACGAGCGCTCCGCCGCAAGGGCCCCGAGGGGGACGGCGGCGGAGGGAGGGCGTGACGACGCAGCGGGGTGGAGGCACACGCGTGGCCGCCTCCCCGAACCGCGAGACAGCCGAGCCCGCTTACGCACCTCGGCGAAGTCGAGACGACGGCGTACCAGACCGTCGCGATAATTTTTCCGCCCCGATGCTGCGGGTCGACCATGCCCCCTCCGACGGCGCGATCTCTCGCTCGGCGAGGCGACGGCTGCTTCGGCGGGGCGCTGTGGTCACCGAGGCGAACGGCGCCATTGGGGCCCTCAATGATCTGGCCGGGAGGCCAAAGGCGCTTGTTGCCCCAGGCCTGGCGGGGCGGTTCCCCCATCGCTTGGTGCACGATCGCGTTCGACGCGCGGCCGCCGCCGCTGGCCCCCTGCCCCCGCGCAGCTCGGGCAGCTTCTTCGGGGCGCGGGCGATTGCGACGTCGAGGCAGATATGCATGAGCAGATCCTTCCAAACGAGGAGGTGAAGTCCAATCTTCTGGAGGCTCCGCAGCAGCCCTACATGGGCGCCAATTTGAGATCGAGTCCGCGCGCATACGTTGGCCTGGCAAAGCGCCCCCAGGCCGCTGGCATGGCGGTCTTCAGCAGGACCCCGCTGGAAAGGTGTGGTCTCTTCATTGCGCGTGAGAAGTCGGGGGAGGCAGCGTGTGGTCGTCGATTGCCGCCGGGCCAATTGATGGTTCCAGCGGCCCGCCGCCGCGGCGCTGGCAACGTGCCCAGCCTTGGGAGAGCTGGCCGTGCCGGACAGGGAGCAGCTGTGCGTTTGCGATGTGGACATTTGCGACGCCTCCTACCATTCCGGCTTACCCGAAGCCATCCTCGTTTTTTGTTCGCCCTACTGTCGGTGAAGGCCGGCGACGTGGGGCTGGTGCGCCTGGGCGGGCAGCAGCTGGGGCCGGGCTCCCGCGCCTGGCCGGCCTCGGCGGTCTGGGGCGGGGCTCCCGCGCCCAGCCGGTCGCGCGCTGCGTCGGCGCTGGACCATCCACAGGGGCATCGTGACATTGATTCCCGTTTTGAGCGAAGTGCCCCTCATCTCGGACAAATGCGCGGTGCCGCCAGTGCACTCGCTTGCTATACTTATTTATGTTGATAGTTATTTGGCTTTGGGCACCGACCTCAAGGCTGTCGCCCGCGATGCCAGTCTAGTCAACGCAACCATGACGTCCCAGGGGCCCCCCACCCATGAGACATGGATTCGCGCTGATGACGCTGAAATCCTGGGCCGGGAGATCCGAGGCAGAGAGAGAGAGAGAGAGAGAGAGAGAGAGAGAGAGAGAGAGAGAGAGAGAGAGAGAGAGAGAGAGAGAGAGAGATAAGACCAAGGCGATCAAGGCCGTGGCGACTGCGTTTGGCACTCTGCTGCTTGGCGAAGAAGAGGTTCGCCAACCCGAAAGACGTTGAAAAAGTGATGGGTCATGGCGCCTTTGTTGCTCTTCTGCCTCGCGAGTTCCCTGCCATTTTCAAGTCAGCGCGTGCCTATGTCTGGCGGCTACGCCATTGTACCGCGGCCCCCTCTGGGGCCCCGTCCGTTGGGAGCTGGGCTCTTTTTAAAGCTTGCTGAGCATGATTTCTCAGAGCACGCAGGTGTCCTGGAGCTCTAAAGCGGTTGGTCTGGTCTGGGGCTTCGGGCTGGTCTGCGAGGATTTCGACGAGAAGTTCGCGGGCTCGGCGGGGGCCTTCTCGGAGCGGTGGCGTTTCTTGGGCGACGCGCAGGCGCAGTCGAGGGCTTGGGCGGGCATCACCATGGAGAGATGTTCGCAGACCTCGTGCAAGGGCGTCTTGGGGGCGCCGGAGGGGAGCTCCAGGGCCCCCCATCGCGAGCTCCGAGGACTTCAAGCGGATCGTCGGCGCAGGCGGTCCAGCGCTGAGGTCCGCCAGCTGGCCCCCGGTCGGTTTCTTCCATGTTTCCGCGAACCTGGCTGGGCCGTCGCGGGACCTCGCAGGCGGGGCGCTCCGCCTGACGACGTTGCGGAGGGGGAGGCCCGGGCGATCGCGCCCGGGTCAAACGCATCTGCAGGGCCACCACGCATTTGGGAGGCACCTTTTGGTTCTTTCGGACTCGCCCTCGTCTGTGTTGGCTCTTGGCAACCGGGCCTCGGCGCCGGGCGTCTGCGGCGCCCTTTGCGCCGCGGCAGCGCACGCAGCCGCGGCCGGTCTCCTGCTCGTGGCTCGCCGGCTTCGCAGCGAGTGGAACCTCGCGGACGGTCCGTCGCGAGGGCCGCGGCGCGCGGGCCACGCCCGGGCTGGAGGCGCCGGCGCTGGATCGCCATCGACGCCCGCCCGGGGCGAGGCTGGCTGCCGTGAAGTTGAGGTCGCGGGGGCTGCCGCACGGGGCGACCGCCTCGACGCCGTCGCCGAAGCGGCCGCAGGTCGACCGCCAGGTTAGCTGTCCGCCGCGCTTGGGTCGAGCGGCGCGACGGCCGCCCAAGGGGTCAAGCGGCAGGAGAAGGCGCGGCGCCGTGCCGAGGTGGCCCAGGCTGGCTCGGTGGACGTGCTCGGCCTGAGCATGGTGCGCACGCAGACAGAGACGCCGCTGCCCGCTGCTGACCGACGAGCTCGACGTGAGGCTGGAGGAGCAGGGGCTGGCGCCGCGGCCGATGTTTTCGGCCCGCGACCGCGGGGGGGCGGCTCTTCCCGGGGCGGAGGCGGCGGCGTTCAACCTCGGCCTCTCCGCGTAGATGCTGGGGCAGTACCTCGCAGACGTCGCCCGCAGGCGCGGGGTGCAGATGCTGGCCGCCCTGCAGTGGAGCGACCCGCGGCTCGGCCGCGACGGGTCTGTTCGGCTGCCGGCGGCGCGGCAGTCGTTCCGCAGGTGGATGGCGCTGACGCCGCTGCTGACGCGACTGCCGTCTGCGGGGGAACTCGCGGCCGCCCTGGCGCGCGAGCTCGTCGGCCAGGGGCAGTTGGGGGCGGCGGCAGGCGCGGCGCGGTCGAGGGGCTTCTGCATGCGGCTAGGCATGTGGCCCCGCGTGCTGGCGAGGCACGCCGTGCCACCGCGGGCGGGCAGGAGCCCGGCGCTTCGCTGCCGGGCGTTGGCGCCGCACCCGCGGGAGGGCCACGCGGCGGGGTTCGACGCGAGGCTCGTGCTCGACCCGTCGCGGTCGCGCGACCAGTGGCTGGCGGGCGTGCCGAGGCGGCTGTCGGCAGAGAAGGGCCCCGACGCGAGCCTGTTCGCCGCCTCGGCGGGCTAGTTGCCGAGCGGGTCTGACGGGCCGCGCGCCGGCTGAGGCGCGCCCTCGGGCCGAGACCGAACCTGCTGCTTCACTCCGGGGCCAGCAGGGAAAGGGGAAATCCCGACTCTTCGGTCGGACGTTGCGTCAAGGGCGGAAGGCTGAGCGAGCAGATCAGCCGGCTGCCGCCCGTCATGCTGAAGCGCGCGCTCAGGGGCCACAACGCGCTCCCCAAGGTGCTCCTTTGGAGCCGCGGTGCCCCGCCGTTCCAGGCGCGCTCGCGGTGGGAGTGTCTCTTGCGATTTGCGCAGGCTCGGGGCGCCTCAGCAGGGCGATGGTCCGCCGAGGATACCACGTGCTTGCCTGGGATCGGAAGCACGGGCCCGATTGCCATCTTTGTGGCGCCAGCAAGCGCCAGCTCATTCGAGGCTGGATTCAGTCGGGTCTGATGCTTGGCGTGCATCTCGGCACGCTATGCGGCAGCTGGTCGCGAGCCTGTGACGTCCAGCCTGGCCCCCCTCGCCTCCGCTCCGACGCGCGTGTGTTCGGTCTGCCCGGCCTCGTCCTCTTCCGCTCAGGCCGCCGTCGATTTCGGAAATGTGATGATTCGTTTCTCGGTTGCAGTTTTGACAGTGTCTCGCCGCATGGGGTTTCCTTGCACGAGCGGGAACCCTAGCGCGTCTAGGATCTGGCTTGCTCCACCCGTCGCCTCCCTTGTCAGATCTGCAGCGTGGATCTTTATCAGCAGTGATGTTTGTCTGTCGGGGACCCCGTGGAGAAGAAGGGCGTCGTTCCTCGGGGCCCGCATTGACTTACGCAAGTTAGTCAGAGTTTGCAAGCGTTTACTCGGATGTTGTAGCAAGTCAGGGAAGCCCCACCAAGTGCTCGAAGGTCGGGCGCCCGACGGGTGCTTTTGGATCGCTGTTGCCGAAGCCTACCCGGCGCCGCTCTGCTGCTCCCTCGCCAGCGCCTTCGGTGATGCTATTACGTGCCGGAAGATTTGTGCGATGAACAGTGCCATGTCAATGTAGGTTGATGCTTGACGGCCTGTGCGGCCATTCGACACATGGGTGTGGTTACGGCCATTGTCGGCGTGAGTTGTCCGAATCGCGATTCGTTTTGGGGTTTTCGTTCACAAGTGCTGGCGGCGACTGATCTCTCGAGAAAATCGGAGCGCCTCCTACATTTTGTATGCGCCTCGCGCGTGGCAGGGCCAGGTACAGTTCTGCGTTCCACACGCTTTTGAATCTCTCGCTGTCGCTGCCTCTGCCGTCCATGCCATGGCTCGTTGCTCAAATATCCCTCCCTCCCTTTTCTTTTCTTTTCGTTTCGCTCTCCTCTTCGGCCTCCTCGGTCTGCAGTGTGTGAGTTGTCTGAATCGCGATTTGTTTTGGGATTTTCGTTCGCAAGTGCTGGCGGCGACTGTTTTTCGAGAAAATCGGAGCGCCTCTACAAATTGTATGCGCTTCGCGCATGACAGGGCCAGGCAGCGGGGGGGTACATATCTATCTCAGTATCGACGTCCCTCTACTCGTGTATCTCTTTATGTTTCGATATCGTTGCCGGCTTCACATTGGATCTCATTATCGATATCAATTCCGGCTTACCAAACGGTCTTCTTATCGATATCACGTTTTGTTTGTGCATCGATCTATCCATTCATCTCACGATCGGTGTCACATTCGACTCCCTTGTCGCGGTCGCATTATCAATATTGCACTCGGGTCCATTTCGAGACACCAGGGCATCGGGGCAATTAGCTAAACCAGATTGCATGGATTTGCCCGCGCGGTCTGTCTTTCAGAAGAACATGCAACGAACATGCAAGACCACTGGACATCACACTACACCATGGGACACCACTATCGATTTCACGATCGCTATCACTATCCACCAACATCACCCCCAAGTTTCCGATTTACCAACGCCGTTACCAGACTCATTCACGATCGACACCACCATCTACTTAGCATTCCCTCGATCAATCGATGTCGTTATCGAGAGTCCACCTTGTGGCACGTCACATGGTCGAAAGCTTCGACGTTTTTTGCGATGGTGGTGTCGTCTCTAGCGCTGTTGGTGATGATGACTGTGATGATGTTGATTGTCATTGGGTTGGCGATAATCACGACCATGATTGCCCGACTTCGCGGTATCGTAAGTGACTTGGTCAACGCGTTTTCTTCTGAATCAGAGCTGGCCTACCGTCTTGGAGCGGCGGCGCGGCCAGGCCGCCCATAGAAAACCGAGAGAGACGCGTGCGGGAACCATGCTCACAGAGTGTGGGCGCTGTGGCCAGGAGTGCGGTGGCAGAGCCTGGCGGTGCCATTCGCCTGCTCCTAGCGACTTAACTACCACTTGATTTCATTATCGTTGTCCCTCTGTGTATTCTCGGTCGCACCGTTTGGTGATTTAGCAGTTGACCTCACTATCGATCTCACTACAGGTGTGTCGATCGATCTCACGATCGATGCAATTATCTATCTCACAATCGACCTCAAGGGACACCACTGGACACCGCGCCAAGGGATCACGTGACGCCGCGCTACGGGACACCGGCGGAACACCCCCGAGCCAACACCAGCCTTTTTGGCGGCAGAGAGTCATAGAGTTCAGTTTCGCCCTAGCCACGGCGGGTTCATTCGTCTCGCCCGCTCACGAAGTTTCGCCTCGCCCGCACGCACGACACGATCACGAAACCCACATTGATATCCCGGTGAGGGGTCTCCGTTTCACTTCAAACTCACCCCCAAACCCTGATATAGGGTTATGGGCTAGGGCTTGGGATACGGATAGTGGCAGGGATAAAGGATATTGATACACGAGAGGGGGTGCCACGGGAGGCCACGGGAGGCAACGGGAGGCAACGTCGGCCCCTCGCCCCGCCCCCTTCGGCGCGCCGCCGACGTCTGGCGGGCCCTGGCGCGTTACCAGGGCACCGTGTTCGGGGCGTCGGGCGAGGGCGCGGGGTGGCAGCTGGCGTCCCCGACGCTCGCGATGCGCGGCCTCGAGGACGAGTTCCAGTGCGCACATGAGTGCTTCGCCTCGCCCTTCAACTGCCACTTCGGGAGCTTTTGCTCCCTCTTCCCCGACACCGACTGGTGGTTCGGCTCCTGCGGCAACTTCTTCTCCCCAGACCTCCGATGCCTGGAGACAACCTCACTTCGGGCGTGCTTTGTTTTCAAGCTTGGCGGCCCATATAGCGTCCCAGGGCCGCACTCGGGCGCCATCAAGCACAAACGTTTGTCGCAATGAGGATGTCTCGAGCGAAGCGCACGTTCCGCAGAATATGTCGAGGATGTCTCCGGCGAGACGCTTCTATTGATGTGCCCAAGACGCCCCGGGGAATGTCTAACATTTATGGCTCGGGCCCTGCATTCGAGGCCTCCCAGATGGGGTCGGGGTAGATGGGGTCGGAGGATCGCGCCGCATAGCCGATGCATCGCCGATGCGGCTCGATGTGGAGCCCGATGCCCTTGACGTCGACGTTGACGATGCATCGCTGGTGCATCGCCGGTGCACTGCCCGTGCACCGCCGATGTATCGGCGATGCGGCGCGATCCTCCGACCCCATCTAGGAGGCCTCTACTCACAGGCTCGGCCGTGCAGTCCTGGCCAGGAGGAGGAGGAGAAGGAAGAAGAGGAGGAGGAGGAGGAGAAGGAGGAAGAGGAGGAGGAGGAGGAGGAGGAGGAGGAGGAGGAGATGGAGGAGGACCCCAGGGGGGCCCCGTCGTGAGGGCTCCGGGCCGTCGGAGGTGCGGGCCTCCCGGGTCTTCGCCCCCACGGAGGGGTCCTTCGAGGCCGGCCCGCCTTATGAGGTGGGCGTGCTGGACGCCATGGCGGCGAAGGCTAGGCGGCGCGCGGAGGGAATGGGGGATGGAGGCGGGGATGGAGATGGAGATGGGATTGGAGATGGGGATGGAGATGGGATGTGGATGGAGACGGAATGTACATGGGGATGGGGATGGACATGGAGATGGAGATGAAGATGGGGATGGAGATGGAGACGTGGATGGAGATGGGGGTGGAGGTGGAGAGGGGATGGGGATGGAGATGAGGATGGAGTTGTGGATGGGGACGGGTGTGGGGAGGGGCATTGGCACTATTTCTCGGTGGGCGGGGCGGCGGCGAGGGGGGCGGCCGCCCAGCAGGGCCCATCTCGATCCGATCGGTCCGATCCGACATCGCCTCCAGCGGGCTCGATCCGATTCGATTCCGATATTTGGTGATCCGACGTGGCCCGATGCTCGCATGGCGCCGTTGTGCATCCTGGCGCGATTCCGACTCCGTGCCGATGCAGCCCGATCCGTGGCACGTTCCGATCCGACCCGCTTTCCCGATCTGCTGCTGACCGGTCCTGCGTGGCGGCGAGGGGAGCGGCCGTCCAAGAGGTCAGGTGGGGGGGTGGGGTGGGGGGGGGGGGGTCGACTCTTCGCCCGCCGTGGAAAAGGCAGTCCTGACGGAGCGGTGCCACGAGGTGTTCGGCAGTGGCCGGGCCTCCCGAGGCCCGCCTCGGGCCCCTGGGGCCGTCGGGCGCTGCTCGGGGCGAGGGGCCCGTCCTAGCAAAGGCCCCGAGAGGCCAAGGCCCGCTCTCCCTCGGGTCGGGGGCCTGCTGGTCTTCCAGAAGCCTTGCGAGAACGCCCCCCCCCCCCCCCCCCTGGTTCCCTTCTAAGCTCAACGTTGCGCGCAGTTGTTGCGGCCCAGCAGAGTGCCAGAGTAGGCGGGATTCCCTTCCTGCCTCCATGCGCAGTCGCATCATCACATCATCACCCGTTCCAAAGTTTGGATGCAATGTTGGGTTGTTGGATTCATCAGAGTCGGCGCTGGCATCATCCAGGGCTGAAACTTGCCAAATCTGGATTAACCCCGCTCAATCAGGCCTAATCCTGTTTAGTCCGCCTTGATCCCGCTAAGTCCCAGGCTTAATCCGACCCAGTCCGGCCCGAGGCCCCTTCAACCGGGCTTGATAGCCCTTGCTTTTGGAGTTGCCTCCTTATCTGACAATGCCCCTCCCCCCGCCTCCTCAGAATGCCGCCCCCACTCGCTCCACCCGTGCGCTGCGCCGCCCGGAGGTGCTCGGCGCCCTCGCCGAGGCGGAGGGCGCCGGCAGGCGCCTCAGCTGGGCGTTCGTCCTGCCAGACTGGCATTCCGGCGGCATCGACGCGCTGCGGCGGAGCCCGCTGGCGCGCGCCGAGGTGGTGCTGGGCACCGGGGAGCACACCTACAAGGGCCAGCGGTGCGTACGCCACCCTGCTCGCCCAGGGAGCAAGCGGGCCTCTGAGGGACACAGGTCCGTTGGCTGTGCGCCTTTCGACCTCTCCAGGCCTTCCCCGGGCACGAAAAGAGCTCGCAGTGGGTTCTCCGCCATGTCCCCCACGAAGCAAGCGGGTCTCTGGATGATTGGAGGGAGAGTTGCGCCTGTCTCTTGGGGCAGGGGACGTTCCGCGCTCCCGCCAGAGCGCTCCCCAGCCAAAAGTCTGCGACGGCACGCTTGCAACGGGAATGGCAGCGAGCGGGCTTCTTGAGGCTCCCTCCGGCCCCAGGACCGGTACAGAAGCGGCATTCGGAACGACGAGTTGGCCCCGGGACCCAGGGCCCGTTGCCGTCAGGGCCCGCTTCCCCGTCTGCTTCATGCCAGTGCGAGGGCCAGCGCCCAGGAGCAAAGGAGGGGCCCGGGCAGGCCTCCAGGAGGCCCAGGCCTCACCGCAGAGCCAGGCCCACACGGAGCGGCCTCCGAGGTGCCGGACAGCGGAGGCCGCTCGAGCTCCCACGATGCATGCGGCGTCAGAGGCCAGCGCCCCCCGCCGTCACGGCAGGAGCCGTCCCCAGACATCCTCGAGGCCATTCCTTTATTGCTTGGGGCATGACGGGCGTCATCCCCCGCTCCCCCCCCCTCCTATGACGCAACGCTCCCCCCCCCCAGTACGCTCCGGGCACTGCCGCCGTGCGCATTGGGATCCGCGTAGGTGTCCGCGTAGGTGTCCGCGTAGGAATCCGCATCGGTGTCTGGTCCGCAGGCGTCGTCGTCGTCGTCGTTCGTCGTCGTCGCTCGTGGTTCGTCGCTCGTCGCTCATCGTCGTCGTGCGCGCGGACGCGGCTGAAGCCTTTTCTTTAAGTCCGGGCCGATGACGGCAATCATCTGGAGGGGGAGGGGGTTGATGACGTCACGTTTCGCGCCGGCGGCGTTTGGGAATGGTTAGGAATGACGGAGGACGGGTAGCACGAACATGTAGGTGGCGATATACAACACAACGCTTGTGTACATCACAGTGCCCGCGTGCACCACAGCGTCTGTGTACACCACACCGCCGATGTACACCACAGTAGCCGCGTGCAACACAGCGTCAGTTTGTGCCACCGTGCCTGCGGGCACAGCAGCTCCTGTGTACACCACAGCGCCTCCGTACACCACATCAGCCGTGCGCAACACAGCAACAGTGTACAGCACAATGCCTGCGTGCAATGGTGTGCACCACATCGGCCGTGTGCAAAACAGCACCATTGTTGTGTATAGAATTTCACAAAAATCCTTGTGACAAAATGGAGCGCGTGTGGTTTCCAGAGAAAACAATGGAAGACAAATCCTCATGGACAAAGGAGCGCCGCTGGAATCTACGGGTCCCCCCAAGTCCGCCCGCACCGCACTAACTCCCATTTGCGTCCAGGAGGCTCCAGCTAAATTGGCCGTCCGAGAACCAATTGGACCGATTCAATCGACCATTCGGCGGTGCACGCTGAAATGCGCAGGTGCGTTGTAACGCCAAGCCGCACGACAGGGGCTAAGAAGGAGGAGAGGGAGGACGCGGAGGAAGAGGAGGAGGAGGAGGTGGAGGAGGAGGGAGGAGGGAAAAACGTCGCATTCGATTATCAGAACTTTCCTGGCGTGGCGTTTACTTGTTCGCATCAGATCCTGACGTACATGCTCCTTCTACCTGTCCTATGCACGCACGCATTGTGGTGTACACCAGCGCTGCGTTGCACGCAGATGCTGTGGTGTAGACAGGCGCTGTGGCGTGCACAGGCGCTGCGGTGCACGGAAGCACTGTGGTGTATACAAAACGTTGTGTTGCACATGGCTGCTGCGGTGTATGTACACCGGCGCTGTAGTGCTCCCAAGTATTGTGGTATACGCGGGCGGTGCGTTGCACACGGCTGTTGCGGTGTATGCAGGCGCTGTGGTGCACACGCGCGGCGTGGTGCACGCGAGCGTTGTGGTGTACACATGCGCAATGAGCAGATCGCCACTTACATGCTGCTCGCGTCGTCGTCGTCGCTCGTCGCTCGTCGCTCGTCGCGTCGTGCGCGCGGGCGCGGCTGTGGTGCCGGAACCACACGGCGGGGGGGGGGCGTCACGTCATACCCCCCCCGCCCTCCCCCCCCCCACCCCAAGACGCCCGTCATCGCCGAACATGAAGAAACGCCTTCTTCCGATTTGTTGCTGTCCATCCGCGGCCCCAGGGCTCCCGACCCCACACTTGTCCGGGTGTGGTGTTGCGCCCCGGATCCATCCTGGCCGAGCAGTTTCTTTGGGTTGAGGGCAAGGGGTGAAATCTGAAGTGCCGTTCCGATGGATGTTCGAGGCTTGAACCTGCAAAAGGTGAATCACAGGACGGCTTGATCTTCGAGGTGCAGAAGCCCATATGGATGTCACCCTGAGCCCTCCACCCTGAGAATCTGCTCAGCCTGGGGGCTCGGCAGCGGGGCCCCGCGGGCGCCCCGCAGGCCGAGAGCGAGGGAAGAGCCCAGGATTGATGTCGTGTTCGACGCGGAGATCACCTGTGCGTGTGCATCTCATTTCCTGGCACGTTCCGCCCTGAGCGTCTGGCCGTGAGCGTCTGGGCGCGAGAGCGTGTCCGAGTGGACGGCGACACTGGCGGCGGCTACGATGAGGGACAGCGGCCACGACAACTCACAGACAGGCAGACAGACAGGCGATAAGCTGGACCCCTCCCCTCTCCTTCCTCTTCCTCCTCGTCGTGCCCCGTCCCTTCTCTTCCTCCCTCCCCCCTTCTCACCCATCCTGCGTCCTTCTCCTGCCTCCTCCGTCCTCCGTCCTGGTGGCCGTCTTTCTCACGCCTTCGAAGTGATCATGGGGCTCTGAAAGGACAGGAGCAGGAGGTTCTAAACCGAGCACCTCGCGCGATGCATCTCCACGATCGGGCTGCCTGGGGTGCTGGAACCAGCGCCTCGCTCGGGACATCCTTACAATATGCTTTCCCCTTTGGGGTGCTGAAGCCAGCGCCTCGTTCGGGGCATCCTCGCAAGTTGAGGGTGAGGGGTGAGGCGAGCCAGTATGTGAGTGAGTCTGACTGTGATCGGCTCTGAGTATGGATGAGGCTGAGTGTTACAAGTGCGTCTGTGTATCTGAGTCTGAGTTCATCTGAGTAGTAGGGGGCCTGAGTGTTGAGTCTGAGTATGAGGGAGTATGAGAGTGAGCCTGAGGTTTGGTGAGTTGAGTGTGAGCGATCCTGAGTGTGAGTGAGGAGAGGAGGAGGAGGAGGAGGAGGAGGAGGAGGAGGAGGAGGAGGAGGAAGAGGAGGAACCGGTGGACGAGGAGGAGGAGGAGGACGAGGAGGAGGACGAGGAGGAGGAGAGGGAGGAAGGAGGGGAGGCGGAGGAGGAGGAGGCGGAGGCGTCCCAGTAACAACAAGAACCCTCAACGTACTAAGGATACGGGAGCAGAGAGCATCCTCGGAGATCTGATTTCGTCGGGTGGCCCACCCACCACGGCACGAGAACGGCCTGCAGCACCAGTGCGAGGACAGGCACGCCCTCGTCGAGTGCGAGACGCCGACCCTGCTGCTCTGGGTGCAGACGGCCGCTGCGTTCGAGGCCTGGCCGCCCACAGCGCCCGCGGTCGCCCGCGTCGGCGACGCTTGGCGCGTGGCGCCCCGCAGATCGAGGACGCCTCCACGGCGACCCACCGCCGGCGATCGAGGCTCGAGCATTGGCGCAGAGGCCATTTGCTGGATTCAGAGGAGGAAGAGATGCCCATACCTCTACCCTCTGCCCGTTTTGCCCGTTTTCCCCCTTTTCGGCCTGCTGGGCCTCCCTCGGAGCCACCGCTGGTCTCGCTTCGAAACCCTGGTCAGAACGAACCCCAGGAGAGGTCCGGGGAGTAGCGGTATCGGTACCTTTTGGTCTGCCCATGGATGGATCTCCCAGTCTTCCCGCCGCCTCAAGCGGTCCGCTTTCAGGGCAGGAGCGCAGCCAAGCCACAGGCCGCGTGGCCGTGCTGCGCTCCTGCTCATGAGCGCACGCCGCGTGCGGCGGCGGAGGGCTTGAGACGTCCAGCCAAGAAATGGGAGGCGCTTCTCGAATGAACAGAGGCGACTTGCTCACAACTCTCGGAGCTCCGCGCGGATCTCTCGGATCGGCGCTGGGGCCCCTCTGGCGCGTTCTCCGCGGCAGGGAGGGTTGGCCCAGCGATGTAAACAAAAATCGCGCGGGGCTCGGAAAGGTCATGGTCATACCATTGTTGCTGCTGCAGGAAAAGGGGTCCTTCCTGGAGACTGTCCGCCTCCAGAAGGCGCTTTGGGCCCCAGGAGAGTCACCAACCTATGACAAGCCAGTCCCATGGCAAGCCCTGGGGTCCAGGACCATCCTGCTCCAGGGCCCGCTTCCCTCGTGGCAAGAGGATGCAGGCTTCAGGGGGTCGGGGATGCTTCCTGGCCTTTCTCGTGCCCCATCTGGCGTTCTCGTCGCCACGGCTGCGCCCCAGGAGAGGTCCGGGGGTCGACTCCGGGAGTGCCGAGACCTCCGACACGGTATTTGTTGGTATGCTTACGGTTTGCCTCAGCTTCGGTATCCAGAAGACCGTTTTGCAATCAGACAGCGATCCCAGTTGAACATCGTGTTCTTAGCAGGGGACGAGGGGTTCGGGGGGCACGTATTGACAAAAGTACGGCGGCGGATTCTTCGGAAGATGGTGTGACCAAGCGTCGATCCAACGTTGGGCCAGTCCAGTGGACTGCTGTGTGTCCCACCAGCCGACGCGGAACCACTTGGAACTCTGGGGGGGCGGGCATCTTTGGGTGATATCGGGGGCTCTTGGGTCATCTTGGACGCTCGTCTCGGAAACAGCCAGCACAGGAGCTTCATTTCTACCAGTCTGCTGCGTGCAGGAGGCAGAGCGAGGGCTTGTACGAGGGACCGTGGCATGGGAGTGAGGATAGTCTTCCTGTCACGAGGGCCCTTGGGGGCAGGAATTATGGGACCCTTCCGTGGGAGACGCTTTTGAGCTCGCTTTGGAGGTCGTGGGGAGGGAGGTTAGTAAAAGCTAATCCTTTTCAGCCTTCCCCTCCTCTCTCCTTCGAAGCAGCCCGAAGACTTGTCCCAGGGCTCTTTTGGACGACCCCCACACACCATCCCGACCAGCTGTTCGAGTTTCACCCAGCCATGGCACGGGTGCCTTGCAGCAGCTCCAGCAGGCCCAGGAAAAGGACAACCAGAACAAGTACGATGCGTGTCTTGCCGCTCCTCCCCGTTTCCATTCCCCTTCATAACATTTTCCGCCTCGACAGTGCTCATGGGAGTGCGGCACTGCGTGACCGCTCGCCACCCGAGGGCCCCACAGGCGGGACCGGCGGATTTGGACCGTCAGGTGCGACGCCGAGCGCAGGCGCGAAAACAGATCCGCGCCCTCTCCACGGGTGGGCGTCGCGAATGAGTAGCAGTCGCGACCAGCCATTTCTTTCCAGTTTAGGTCCTGTAGGGCTTTCGCGGACAGTTTCGGTTCGGGAGACGCCGCCGGAAGATGTTGTCGTGAATCATGGGCGGAAATTACACGACGTCAGATCGCACGGCCTTCTTGCTTCACAGTTCTGCCCCCTTCGTCCCTTCCCCTCCGTAGGGAAGGGGAAGTATCTACCACAGCCAAGATTCCTGAACATCGTCAGACATCAAGAGCCCCGTGAGCTCGCCTGCTTGAATTCAGACCTGGCTGCAACGACCCGAGAGGCAGCGTCAGGGAAAACAGTGGCGGCAGCAGCACTTATGAAGTGGATTTGTTGGGCTCCATCGATTCGGCTCTTCCATATCCGCATCTTTCATATTGTTATGTTCCTTCACAAGGTGAACATCGCAAACACTAAGTCAAGCAGCTTCCAGCAATGCATTTTGGGATGTGCGTTCGGCCCTGAACCGAAGCTCTACGAGTCATTACTCGGAGCTTCCTCTGCTTCGCTTTCTGAGATGCTCTACGACTCACGAGTCATATCTTCAAAATGTGCTTTAACTGGGAAAATGCGCCACACTTGTGGTGTCCACTAATAGCGTCCCAAACCCAGAGAGCGGGGCAGCCTAAAGCGTGAAACACCTCTGGGAAACGCTTGCAAGGACGCTCGAAACGATGTCAGGTACGCAGTTGAGACAATGCGAAACACAATACATTATACTCCGCTTGCGCTGGATCAGACGTCACCTTGATGAAGAAGAACTGCGCAGTTGAAGCGGTGCAAAATCATTTCGATTCGTTCACACTGTGTAGGAATTCACCGTCATGGCGAAGAGCTACGCGGTGGAAGCGGCGCGAAAAGCAATGCGTCCTGGTCCGTTACCAATGCTCATTCAGCAGTTATGGGAATGTATGTTCTTTGGCAGACTTTTTATTCATGGAACGGTGTCTCAGCGTGTTGCGGCGCAAGAATGGATAATACTATGCGCGAGTGCGCGAGTTCATGAGCAAAGAGAGACAGGAGCATTTGAACAGACTAGAAGATCATGCACACACGCTTCGTTTGCCCATCAAGACTTGATGTGTCGTGGAAGCTTTCGTGGAGGACCAGATGCGCATGCAGTACGGGAATTTCCCGAGGGGCAGACAGGGATGCCCCTTGATTGCGCGGTCTCTGCGCCAGTGGCCATACAATCTCTCGGTGGAGGGATCCTTAAATGGGTTGCACGATGTTGGGCGAGCGGCGCTCTGCACGTTTCTCTTCAATCGTAGTGTGTACTGAGTTGGCCACGGGATGTTGGCCTCAATGTGTTTGCTTTTGTTTGGGGGGAGCACACACATTTTTAATTTGCAATGCACAGCCGTACTTGTAGACGAAACGCAACGAGGATCTCCAGATTCATACATCAAAACATGCACTGCCATGATGACTATAGCCTTCTGGATCAAGGCGAGCAACAGCGCCAAGGAGGCACAGAAAGGGCCGAAGCCTCCCAAATGCCTCGAGCCTCCTTCTTGGACTCACCAGACCTCAGACGTCGTAATCTTCTCACAGCGTTCAAAGTAAATCTTCTGCCGTGGTGTTGTCCGCGACGCGAGGGTGGTCGTGGGTCCTCCCCGACCGAGGCTAGGGCTGGACCCCCCCCCCAGGGCAACAGTAGAGCGGATAGGTTCAGGAAGGTGCGTATCGATCCTTGGTCGCCCATCCATTGCTAATACAGTCGGCACTGATTAGTAGGTCGACCTTGCCAAATCAAGGGCACCCTCGTGTCCTGTGTCTCGCGACCCATGCCTCCTACATTCCCATGGCACTGTGCCCCTCGGAAAGTGTCTTGCGTCCTCTCGCGTGTCCTGTCCAATCAAGGCCGACTGTAAGGACTTCGTGGCCCACCCCGCTCAGGAACGTGCGGCCTCCCTATCGAGGGCCTGCCACCGATCTATCAACGATGCATCGCCGATTACAGCTCGATGTTATACTCCCTGAACTCAAGGGCGTAAACAAACGGCCCTTATCCTGGTTTATGAGGCGCTGTGCGCTACACCTCCTGCGGGCTGACAGGGCATGCGTATCGCGCGTGCCGCGCGGCGTCCTGGCGGCTCTCTGGTTTGTGGGAGCTCTCAGGACGTTTACCGACTACGCACTTGTAACCCAGAACAGGTTTTTTTTTCGAAAAAAAAAAACATCAATGAGCAAGTTCCCCCCCATCTTCTTGGGGAGCAGGGTACCGATGCCGCTACTCTACAGACGTCTCCAGGAGTGCGTTCGGACCAGAATGTCGAGGCGAGCCCAGCCGTGGCGGCGAGGGAAGGGTAGCGGTGTCGGTACCGCTTCTTCCTCTGATCGTTGATACTGGTTTTGCTCCCCCGCCCCACCCCTCCTTAGACATTCCCAGACACTCCACGCTTTGATTCCCAAACATCCTGCCCTTCTACTCCTCCTCCTACTCCTCCTTCTCCTCCTCCTCGTCCTCCTCCTTGTCCTCCTCCTCCTGCCATACTCCCCCTCCCCTTCCCCTCCCATCCCTGCTTTTGCCCTCCGCATGCCACTATTTCGGTACACCCATCAAATGGTTCGTGGTCCCACAGGGAGTTCCACCGAGGGCCTCAGTGGGAGGGTCCACACGCGTCTCCCCGCCCCATTTCTGCACACCTCACTCGCTTCGTGCCCCCATAGGGCGCTCCATTTGGCGCACCCCTCACAGGTTTCGTGGCCACATAGGGAACTCCACCGAAGGCCCCAGTGGGAGGGTCCACATGCGTCTCCCCGCCCCATGTCGGCACTTCGTCATGCCCCTCGCGCGTTTCGCGGCCCTACAGGGCGGTCACCGAAGGCCCCAGTGGGACACATTTCGGCACACCAATAACCATCTGATTGTTTCCCCAGGGACGTTTTTCCCGAACCGTTTCTTGACGGTCCTGGCGCTCGGCGGGGACCCCCCGAGGTCAAAAACGGCCAACGTTTGTCCGTCGCGAGTATCTCGCGAAGCGAGCGTGTTTGGGATCGTCCCCCCCCCCCCCCACCCCCCACACCGGCCCAGACCAAGTACGCGCGGACCCTGCCGGCGGACGACCCCGAGCGCGCCAAGGTGCTCGGCGAGGCGCGCGCTGGTCGCGCCCCCGGCCGCCGGGCTGGCGCCCCCGTCCATGGGTCGGTGGGGATCCGAGGTCACCGCACGGTTTTGGGATGTGGGCCGTTCTCCGAGGGCGGCTCCGACCAGAGGCTGCATCGGCCGACTGCATGTGAGTTCATGCATCTGGGCACCCTCCTCGGAGGTGGGCCGCGCGCTTCGGGCGGGACCAGCTCGGGCCTTCTGCGCCAGGCAACAAAAGATAGTTCTCCGAGGGCGTCTCGGGCGGCCGGGGCCTCCGAGGTCCCAAGACCGTGCGGTGACGGACCGCGTGGTGAGGTCTCTTGGAATTTCGAGGTCACCGCGCGCTCCGTCACCACACGCTTCTCGGGGCCCCTGGCCCATTTCGGGGGGCCCACTGCGGGCCGCTCCTGCGCCCGCGGTTCGAGGATCGACGCTCGTCCAGGCCTCCTGAGGCTCCGTGGGGCCGAGCCACGTGCTGCTGCGCTTCTGACCACGGGGTCTCCCCGCCCGCCGTCCCCGGTCCCTCTTCGCTTCGCTGGCGCTGTCCAGCTCTGCGTTGGCGGCCCCTGCCCGCCGGAGCCTGCGCGGCCGTCGGCGGCCCCGCAAACCGAGGGGGAGGCGGCCTGGCACCCCGTGCCAGGCCGGGGGCGCGGAGGTAGGGGGGGGCACGGGCTGGGCGACGGGCTGGGCGGGCGGGCACGACGGACGAGACACCCGGTCGGAGATGCGGTCGGCCGATGTTCTCCATGTCGGCGTCGCCGACGCCTCGCCGACGTCGACGATGCATGGACGGTGCAGCGGCGATGCGTCAGCGGTGCGTCAGCGGTGCGGCGCGGTCCTCCAACCCCATCTGCGCGGACCCCGTGTGGGGGCCACCCCTTTTGGGCCGTCTGGTACCTTTGGAGGCCGTCTGCGGGCCGTCTCTGGGCCGTCTTGAGGGCCTCTTGGGGCTGTCTCGGGCCGACCGTCGTGGGGTCCTCTCGGGCTGCACGAAGGCCTCGAGAGACTTCTGGGCCGTCTACGGGGCGATATTGGTTGCCTCTTGAGCTGTCATGAACGCTCTTCAAACCGAAAAGGCGAGAAGATGCTAGCAAACTGGACACGTGTATGCAACATCAATTGGGTGTTGTGCCTCCTGAGGCCCTTATGGGGAACCTTTCGAGGCCTTCTTGAGGCGTCTTCGAGGTATATTCAGCATACTTGCTGGCCACGGTGGACATATTGACCCAACTTGATGCCGGCAAAGGACATTTAGGAGGCCCTGTTTAGAGCATTTTTGAGTGGCACTGCTAAGGGGATGTACCTATCGTGGGAAACTGGCGGGTTGGGCCGAAGGCCACCAGGAACCTCTTGGAAGGGCCATGGAGAAGTCTAAAGGTTGGCATGCCAAGCACTCCTCCGCAGGCTGCGGGGGCGGCGGATCTTGTGGCTTGCGGCCCATCCCGCCATCGTGGTTGGCTCGGGAAGAGGACTGTTGGAGGCCTCTTGGGGCTCCCTTTGGGGGGGGGGGGGGGGGGGCATTCGGGGTTCCTTCCAGAGGTTCGGGGGGGGGGGGGGGGGGGGGCATTTTGCATCTGTCTTGGGGGGGACTTCTGGACCGTCGGGGACGCCTGCGGTTTTCAACTAGTTCTGGGACGTCTCGTGGTCTAGCAGTTGGCCTTTGAGAGGTATGTTGGGTCCTATCGAGCTCGGAACATCTGTGGGCCTTTGAGTGGCTCTCTCGGGTTGTTTCTGCGCCATCTTCAAGTTTTCTTGTAATACCTTGGACTCCCCCGAACGCTGTCTTGAGCCGTCTTGGGGACCCCTTGGGGCCAACTTGGGCCATTTCGAGTGCTTTCTGGGGCCCGCTGGGGAAGTCTCGGAGCTCCTTGAAGCCGTCTGGACGCCATGTCGAGCTGAAAC